TTGACAACACGGTCGTTTAAAACTATGTCTGATTTCGCAGTTTCCGACAATCTTGCAATGAGATTCGATGTTGATCTCTGAGTGCTATGCTGCAAGGCATTACGTGCCTATCAATTCGTTTTAAATTAATTGATTAAATTTATAATTTTACATAGAATATTGTAGTCTTTCTTTTTTAAAGCCTGAAGAACTTTTGTTGCAATGCATCGTAACTTTTCAATTTTTTTTGTTTCACTATCAAGGTAAGGTTCCAAGCTTGTTTGGCAAACTCCAGATGTGATATAATATATGAAGTAGAACTTTTTTCAAATGTCAATGTCTGTTGATAAAAACGTGTGTTTAAGAATTCCAAGCATATTCTTTGTTTTGTTTGCACCTAATTTGCACTGTTGAGCATATTTAAGATTCTTAGATATAGAAATTCTGAGATCTTTTCCGGAATTTTTGACTTCTAAAACTACACCATTCGTTGTACCTTCATTTTTGATTTCATCTATAATATAATCAAAATTTACTGTTTCAGAGTTTATAGTCAGAGTGCATAATTTTACAATTTTTACATTTATCTCCATTAGCCAGGTTTGCATCCATATTTTAATCTCGTCCAGATCAAATTGTAAACCTGCTCGGTCTTTATCATTTTCAACAATTTTAATAAGTTTTTTGTCATCTGAATACATTTTGCAAATAGCTGATTTGACGTGAATGGGTAGGTATTATATAATAATATAATATATATTTCGCCATAAAGAAAATATTTACAAAATTAGACTTTAAAAACTGTATATACACGGCTGGGGCAAGAAGAAGACAAATTCAGTCTTATCGCCAAGCCCCTTCAAACAAGAATACAAGTAACAAACAAAACAAAAAACCAAAAAACCAAAAAAAATCCGTTATCACAATATAATATATGCGTAAGGTACATATACAAACAAAAGTTTCACATCCAATCTATTGAAAGTAAAATCTCTTATAATATTTCCGTACTTTATAAAACAAAACCATTTTTAAACGCAAAAGCTCTAATGAAAATTTATTTTTCATTTATTCACAGCTATCTTTCTTACTGCAACATTGCATGGGGAAGTACGAATTACGGAAAACTCAAAAAACTTTATAGTAAACAAAAGCATGCTTGTAGGATTGTATTTGGGGCAAACAGAACTGTTTATTGCGAACCACTATTAAATCGTCTCAAGGCCTTAAACATTTATAAACTAAACATTTACCAAACATTACTTTTCATGTTTAAAATGAAACATGGAATATCTCCACTTATATTTCAATCTTATTTTAGCGAAATATCTCATAAGTATCCAACAAAGTTTTCAGAGGACAACTTTATTGTTCCGAGAATAAATTTAAAAATAAGCTCTTATCAAATTAAATATCGAGGACCTTTTTTATGGAAAAATTTTATTAAAAACTTTAATAAAGAACACTACTCTTTAGAAAAATTTAAAGCAGCTTCTAAAAGAATCTTACTTCAATTAGATTTTAATTCAATAAATTCAAAATTTAATTCAAAAAAAGTATTTTTTTTAAAAGGAAATTTTAAAACAGAAACAAACGCTCCCATTATCATTAAATATATTTTGTTATATGTATCAAATATATTTGTATTAGTATACAAAACTTTCTTTACTTTTAAATTTTAATATAAATGTCATTTTATTATTTGACAAAAGTTATGTACTCTTTAACGTTTTTTTGTATATTTTATTTATATTTGTTTATAAACACGGGCAATTTGTAAACGGGGCTCGGCGATAAGACAGTCATTGTCTTCTTCTTGCTCCGGCCAATTTTTATAAATGTAATATGTCTATATTGTAAATATATGAAACGGCAAAAAAAAAAAAAAAAAAAAAAAAAAATGTATATATAAATACAAATATCTAAATATTTTTCATTAAAATTTAATGATTTTTTTCAGTTTTTTTTTTTTATTAGGATTTCAAGTTTTAATAGTAAATAAAAATGAGATAAAACATGATAATTTAAGAAGGTAAAGATTCAAATTAAAATCAAAAATTAATATGTTAAAAATAAATTAAATATCAAGTAAAAAACAAGTGGTTACTCCTATTTAAAAGTTTCAAAAGAAGTCAAGTTCATTGTCAATTATCAAGAGTTTACTTTTTATTTCTTTTTTAAATTGATCAAGGGAAGAAATTTTTTTAAACTCATTATCCAATAGGGTGTTCCATAATTTAGGTCCTCTGATTGCTATCGAGAACCTAGTCGCAGAATAATATATTTTTGGTTGAACATAATTGTTGTTTGAAAATCTTGTTGGGTATAAATGATTTATTTTTTCGAAAAATGATTTAAATAAAATGGGTGCCATTTTATTATTTACTTTGAACATAAACAAACAGGTCATTAACAAATATGACAAAGAGCGTTAGTTCTAACACAGAACTTTGGGGAACCCCGCTAGTTACATCAATTCAGTCAGATTCTGAATTTCTAAGTTTAACACGCTGCTTGCGGTTTGTTAAGAAGGCTTTTATCCAGTTTAGAAGATTGTCATTTATACCATACATTGTAAGCTTTTTTAGCAATCTTGCATGAAAAACTTTATTAAATGCCTTTTCAAAGTCAAGAAAAAATAGGTCAACTGGTTTTTTCTTTGATTTGCTATGAGTCAAAAAGTCTATTGTTTCTAAAAGATTTGTGATGCAAGTCTTTTTTGAAAGAAAACCATATTGATTTTTGTAAAGCAATTTTTATTTACCAAATGAACGCTAATGACTCGTCTAACTATTTTTTCCATAAGTTTTCATGAAACAGGAACGAGCATTATTGGCCTGTAACTGGCTGGATAAGTCCTGCTATTTTTTAATAAATAGGTGTAACATTAGCTCTAAGCCAGGGTAATAAAACCTTTCCAGATTTTATTGAAAGTTGAAAAAATAAATGTAGCGGAACTGCCATTGATCTGGCACAAGCTTTTAAAACAAGTGAACTATGGTTACCATCACCCATTGATTTATTTAAATCAAGCATATTTAAGTGTTTGAGAGCAATGTTTTGGTTAACTGTTATATCCAAACTTAAAACATTTGTTTAGGATGCAAAAGGTTTTAGCGGCTGATTCAGTACTTCAATTGTAAAAACTGATTGAAATTGGTTGTTGAGAATGTTTGCTTTTGTTTTTCCATCACTCCTAATTTGATTCAAACTTGAGGTTCAAGGAGATATTTTTGCTCTCTACCCGTTTACTATTAATATATGAAAACAGTTTCTTTGGATTGTGCTTTTCATTAGCTAGCTTTGACCTATAGACACGTAATGCTCGTTTGATATTTTCTTGACCTTCCTTTTGACATCTGTATTCTTCATGATGTGCGCTGCAATTTTCCATTTTGATTTTGCATTTTTGTACCTGAGCTCTCTTTTTAGTCTAATTAACTTAATTGATTTGTTTGTGATCCAGAGTTGTTGTTTTTTTTTTTTTTTTTGCGGCATTATTTAATGCCTTGCAAAGAAACTTATGGCACGCTTCATTATAGAGGTTAGACTATATCAAATAACATTCCTTAATAATATGATCCATAAATCAAGCTTGCCAATTTATACTATTTATAAAAGTTTTTTGCTGTTCTAACTGTTTCGATTACTAATGCTTAAATTGTGCTGCGAACTAAGAGATATATGCCCTTGAGAAGCTGTACAAAGACAAGGTTCATTTAAAACTTTTTTATATTTTTTATTTGATTCTGATATAATTAGATCAAGTGTGTTGCTTAGATTTTCATCAGTTTTATTAAAAGTTAAACATTTGACATGCTGGTAGAGATGATTGTTACGGAAAGAAAGCGGCAATGTCGCAAGACTGAGGTTATGTAGTAGTGACAAAAAACCTTTTTTTAATGGACTTTTTAATTTATTTTTATTTAACTTATTTATTTATTGGGCCAGCTTGATTAGATAAACAAAGAGAGACTAAGTTGGATTTTTTAATAAATACCAGGACAATAATATTTCTTAGCAAAGTATGTAAAAAAGAGTATATTTAGTAAAATTCTATTTTGTTGAAATATGTTGGTTCTTGCTTTATTCAAGTATTTAGTGATTCCTGATTTATTGTTGGGCTTTAACTGTTAGTTAGAATAATAATTTTAGTTATCTAAGCTTTCTTAAATATAATTATATAAAGCACCGTCCGTAGCAATTAATAGATATTGATTCATAAATTACTCACTACAATTTGTTTTTCCCAGCCAATATTTTGTACAAACCCGAAAGTTTTGTTTAAAATAATTCTTAAAATTCAACATAATTTAAGATTAAGCATGGGTTCTTTCAAGATGATGACGTTAGTCACTAATATAAAAGAAATAACAAAAATGTTTTGTTAGACTAAGAATTTCTTTTCCAGTATCAATTTAATTAATTTGTTTTAGCATTTTTACCCGCTTTTAGCATTTGGCTTAATAGTCATATCTATAAATATAAATTATACAAGTTAAATTAAAAGGTTGCTAAATAATAACATTTTAAAATTTTAAAATTAGATTATATAGTTAAAAAACGTTGTGATTTTCTTTTCATAAAATTTTCTTATTTGGAAAAAAACAGTTTATAACATTTTCTAAAGTAATATTAAAAATAAACCCTTTTTAACATATTTAAAAATCCATAACAAAAGTTGTTACGGCTAAGCAGTATAGTTACACCTATGATATAACTTTAATATAAATCTTTAAATTTATTGCTGTTTTCTTTTACTTAAATAGCTACTTAAAATCAGAGATATTATCAAAAATAAAACTAATTCAGCAATCTTAAAACTTACGTTAGGCGAATCTAGGCTTGCTATCTGGGATAGAAGTTTCTCTTTTGAATCATGTAAAACTTAAATTAAATATTTTTTCAAAAAAGTAGCTACAAAAACTTGTAAAAACTAATTAGGCATATGATATTTTCTTTTAGTAACTATTCTTTATTAGAAAAAGTTTTTGTCATTTCTATTACGTTTCATAATTTAGAAACTAGAGTTTGTAAAGTTTGGGATTATTATGGTTCATCCATTGGAACAAATGATGCTGGTAATCAATGTTTACGAGTTTGCTTAACTGTATTGGTAATATTACGTATGCACATTTTTAGTTAGTAACAACTTGATGTTTCATATTTATTATTGCACATATTTAGACTGTAATGAACTGAGTTTTCTTTAATGCTGTTATTTTAATAAACATTGTTTTGAAATGATTGTGTTTACTCTTTTTTGCTGAATTTAACTCCCCAAGGCTGTGATAGCCACCCCAGTGAACAAACAACTCTTTTTCTCGTATTTGTTTTTGTTTTTGCCATTAAATCCTTCAATTCCGATTTTGAACTGTGAACGTATATTACCACTTTAAACTATTATTTTTTTTTTTTTTTTCATTACAAAAATTTTGAGTTGACATGTTCCTTGTGGTTATAAAAAACATTTGCTATCACGGTAGGGTTAAAATTGTATCCCAGTATACAGGTTAAAGTTGTATAATAACAGAGAGTTTAAGCATACACGCGTTAACTCTAGACAGTGTTAGTACAAATGCTAGCAAGTTTGCTAACATAGCAAAATTAAAAAAAGTTAAGTATGAAAAACTTTTAACAAGGGCTGTGCAGTCGGAGTCGGAACCAGAGTCACAAAGTCGCAACATTTTAAGATAAGTTGGAGTTGGAGTCGTAAACGTTGAACAAAATCACAACTCCATTAGTAAAAGTTCTCGGTATTGCACGTGCATTAAAAAAATATTCAGTTGACCTTATTTTCATATAAAACTCAAAGAACTTTTCATAAAAAAAAAAAATTTAACTTATTGCATATTATTTTTTAAAGTACTCAAAGAGTTTTTCAAAAAACTTGGAATTAGTGTCGGAGTCGGAGATAGAGTCGGTAATTTCAAAGTTTAAATTTCAACGACTGGAGTCGGAGTCGGTAGTTTTTTTTACTGCTCCCCACCCCTACTTTTAACATGCGAGTTTCAATTCATTAGTTTTTATGACTTATTTTTAAGAGAAAAGTTTTTCCAAAAACAATTTTAAACACGATTTCTAGAAAAGTTCCCAAAATATCTACTCTATAAATGATCATTGCAATCTTACTAAAAAATCTGCATTAAAGTTTACTTTCAATTTAAAGATGACATTAGGAGTTAAAGAAACGTTAACCTTAGAAATCGTTTAGCATATCATTTAAAACAAAGTTATGAGTTTTAAACTCGTTAATTATTCATGTGACATGTTTTTAAGCAGTACACTGTTTAAAAACCTTCTTTCTTACCACTGCGTAGTACGATATAAGGTTTCTAGCGTGCGTTTTAAACACGATGCATTAGAAAGGAAGTTTTCTTTAGACCTATTAATTATTAACGAGAAGTTCTTTTGTATTCCTACCACTGCCTATACATAACGCTTGTATGATTAAACTGTCGGACAATAAATAAAGTTGCTATTTAAATTGTAACAGCGATAGATAAGGTTTGCAAACAGAAAAAAGGTGGAAAATTCTGTTATCCATCTTTTGAGTAGTTCTAATAATAAGTTTTCCATCTTTAGTCAACCTTAACACTATAATTTCAATTTAAATGCAATATTTATTTTAAATGAAAGTAAGCAGTCATCAAAATTCGCTATCGTTACTTTTTAATATTATTAGCGTAATTAGAGACATAATAATAGATAGACATTTAACGCATTGTTATAGATCAAAGGTATTGCTAATTACTGATATTTTATGCGGAAATTCTAAAAACACTTTGTTAAAATGTTGTACAGAAGTTATACAAGGTTAACTGAATAGATAGAATAAATTTTAACGAAATAGTAAAATATATTAATGACAATACTTGCATGATAAAGTTTTTTCATTTAAATACATAGATGAGACAGTTTATTAGAATTTCAGCGTTGTTATTACAATGCTGAAATTCTAATAATTTTTTCTATTTTTTACTTTTTATTTTTTTTAATTTTACCACTTTGTAATTTAATGAATATTCGTTAACAATGTATTTACTAGGGTAGGCCAAAAAAATTTTTTTTCGACTTTTGATTTGCTATACCGCAGAAAACATGCCTTAACAGTATTTAAGGAAAATTCAAAAAAAGATATTAGAAACAATTTACGTCTGAAGCTAGCGCATCGTACTTGAATATTTGAATAAATACTCGCTTTTTATTTCATTTTCGTAATAAAGTTCGCATTAGAGTATTCCCAAAATATGCTGCAACATTGATGTGTTTCTCGCCATAACAATATGTTTTGATATAAATTTTGATTATTTAATATTATTAACCAAACTGTCATGGCTGTTTTTAACAAAATTACTCGTAGCGAATTAAACTGCCCGATTTTTTGTCATCTATTAGAATTATCTGTAAATAAACTTTTAACTTATGAAGTAGGACTCAAGCGTTGTTTTAATGAAAACTACAAACCAACCTTGAAATCAAACAACAAACAAATTTTTTTTTTATATTTCAAATTGTGTCGCCAAACAAGTTAAATCAGTATTTGACGTTGTTTCAATACCCACAGTAACGACTTAAAGATTTATCGAATTAATAAACAGCTACCATGACAGTTATCGTAATCTTATGAAATTTTTCATGCGTGATAAAAGAAAAGAAAGTTCAAAAAGATAGTTGGAGATTAAAAGAAAAATCATTGTTTTTATTTGATGTCTCGGCGTGTAAATGTAAAATAAAATTAGACTGCGAATGTAAAACGGTCACTGAATTTTGTGAATACGAGTGTTCTGTTTCAATTAACTGAAGTGTGAAAAAGAAAAAAATAATCCCCATCATTATATTCAAACTTTTGTACTTCCAAAAAAATGTGTGGTATTGGTAAAATTGAATGTGTTGAGGTAAAACAAACAAAAAAAAATTACACACAGACGCGATAAGAAGTTTGCTGAACTTCAAAGATCTCTGTCCCCAAATAATTTTTTATCGTAACACTCATGCGCAAACCATTTAGATGAAACACTAAAGAAAAAAGAGTTTGATAGTGATGCCTCCGAAGCCATCGAAGAAGTCATCGATGAAGAACAAAAAGAATTTAAACTAACTAAGCCATCATTGCAGATGCGAATTACAAAGAAAAATACTGCTCTGACTAGCGATTACTATGGATTATTAAACAGAGCAACAGCAGGTATTGCCTCAAGTGTTTTGCAAGATTTTAATTTTGTAATCTAATATGATCACAGTCTTCTTGTTGACAAAACATAAAAATTTGTTAGTGTCAATCGAGAAATTCCAGATATTGACCGCAACATTTTAAGCAAAGATTAGCAATTCTTGCTGAATATAAGTCTGCTATTAAATCAGGCAATTGTTTTGAAAATTTATCTGTTCGTGAACCTAAAACAATAACACTTTCAAGATAGTTAACAACTGCAAACAGAGTTTTACTATTGTATTTATGCCTTGAAACTCCAACAGAGGAGCAAAAAATCTTAGTTTCTTTTCCTTTAAAGTTATATGTCCCTGGATGGTTTCATACAAAAAAAAAAAAATACTTCACAAATGTAGCTAAAAGTAATAGACCCAATAACTGAGAGAAACGTTTTTTTTGCACATTTAAAAAACTTGCTTTTGACAATGGTAGTAGACAAACGGGTTTATCTTAGAAAATTCGATTTTAAAAGAATTATAAGGGCAAAAAACCTAGCTTCTCGAAGAAAGTTGATCAGGTGTTTTCAACCACCCAAAATTAGTTTTCTTGCTACCGACTATACAGAGATGATTGACTGGGACACTGCTACGCTTTTGCAGACACCTTTGCTGCAAAGACACTCAAATATTGATATTTGGTCAAATATCTAGTTAGGTGAAACAGCGGCTAAGTGAATCTTTGAAAAGTTTCCATGGCACACTTAAGACTAGAACAATGCACAAAGCTTGGAACAGAGACTTAACAAAAGGTAGCTGGCTTCAATCCAGGAATGACATTATAAGAACTACACATAACACCAAATGCTTTTTTTTTCTGAAAATAAGAGAAAAGTTAAAAAAATATATTTTTTCAAAAAAAAGTTTCAGTCAAAATGATGATTTTTTAATAATAAAAAAAAGATTTCTTATTTACCATTCCAATACATTTTTCTACTTAAATTACTTCTAGATATTTGTTAAAGAATTTATTTAATTTCAGTTAGTTTGTTAGAAAACTATAAAAAGGAAATTTTTTTTGAATTATTAATGCGCAATGCGCTTGCACCAGAGGTAAAATCTTAAAATTATTTTCATTGCATTATCCTTAGCTACCCTAAAGACAAATTTTTTGCGATATAGCGAGTCAAAAATCAGAATATATATATATGTATATATAAATATATATATATATATATATATATATATATATATATATATATATATATATATATATATATATATATATATATATATATATATATATATATATATATATATATATATATATATATATATATATATATATATATATATATATATATATATATATAGCAAGCAATTTATTTAAAACAATTTGAAGGAAAGGAAGCCAAGCAAAACAACAATATTTAAAAAATGAATCAATTTTTTATATTAAAATACTACTAAGAAAATATTAAATAGTACTAGAGGCCTTTCAGTATTGATCATTAGTAGTACTGTTGCAAATGTAATTATCATGATTTTGATTTATGTAAAAAGTTATATAATAGAAGTAGTTAATAGCAGTTTTTGTAACTATGAGTTACCATTGTTATGTTATTATAAAAGGAAGTATTACTTGAAGGTGTCATGTTTTTGTTTATGCAGATAATTTTCATAGGTCAATAAATTATTTTCATTTTTTGTTTCGAGAAAAACATAAAGCTGAAAAAATGGCTCCGTAGTTGTTTTGTGTACTTTCTTGCAATCATATACATGATTGTCGAATCTATCTGTTGAATTGCCAGTTTTGCAACTGGAAATATGTTCATTTGTGCGGTTTCTTAAATTGTTTGTTTTTCCAGTATAAGTAGATAGCCCATTACATGAGAAGCATTTTAGATAATAAATGACACTTTAACTATTACATGTAATGTGACTTTTAATGTTCCAAATTGTGCCATTGGATGTCTTAAATTTATCTACTTCTTGTAAATATGATCGGCAGATTTTACACCGACTGTTTTTGCATTTGAATAATTCCATTTTTTTGACAGATGACGTAGAGTGAAATTTTAAGCGCGTAATTTGTC